GAGGACCATCCTCCTTCTGCCTTGGTCCTAATTGTTCAAGATGAGCTTTGGTCTTAATTATGTTTTAAATTTGCTTTTAATCAAGTTCTGGCCCTTTTCTCCTTTCCCACATTTGTTTGCAGCCTGAGTACATATGGAGGGAGGGGTAGCAGGGGTCTGGGCCCACTCCCACCCCCCACTCCATCATTCCTCTCTCCCTGGACCCCATCCAGTAATCCAATTTAAATCCTCTTGCTCTGGTCTGGAACTTTAATCTGGGGCTTGCAAAGAGGGAACTGAGCAATGCAGGACTGAAGTCCATGGGTCACCTGATCAGGGACCACCAGACAATTGTAAGTTTCTCCAAGCTGCACAGGGTGGTTTATGGGCCAAGAGTCAGGCAGGAGCGGGCCAGGTCAGAGGCTTTGCAACACAGGCAACCAGCATCCCCAGGTCTGGGAAACCTGCTGGGGCCTCAGCTTTGGAGACTTGGAGGGACCTCTCATAACTTTCTACCCAGGGAGACGGGTCCTCTGAGCCAAGACATGTGCCACTTGTTCTTACAGCAAATTGGAGGCAGAGTTGGACCCAAATCAGGACTTTCCTGTCCTCCCAGCTGGGGCCTTGACACACAGCCCCTCTCTCAGAAGGGTCATCTCTTCATGGTTGTAGATCTTCCTCCATCTATTCATCAGCATTCACTAATGGCCTACTGTGTGCAGGCCGGCACTGCGTGTGCACTCGTGGAGCTCTCGTTCTAGTCCCGGCTAGGTCTCAGTTTCCCCCTCTGTACAATGGGGACATGAGACCATCTCTGCCCCATGCTTCTGGTTTCACGGCTCCAGGAGCCATTGTTTATAAAGGCCACAGTGAAAACAGTGCCCCTGAAGGCCGTGCCACCTTCAGCACCATCCCTCGCACCTCTGCCGTGTGGCTCAGAGGAGAGGCCATGAGAGGAGGCATTGTCTTGGATAAGGTGAGGAGTGACCCCAGTGGGGGCCATTCTGGCCTCCTCTCAAGGACAAGGACAAGGGCACTGTGGCTCAGTGGGCTTAGTTCCTGGAGGATGGGAAGCCCAGGGTCAGAGCAGCCAGGCCGGAGTAGGTTCTTGAGGGGACATCAGTGGTGGCAAGAAGTCTGCTCTCAGGAGGGCCTTTCAACCCTGGACAAGCCGGAGGCAGTGGAGAGGCCTGGCTGGGCACCCAGGACCTAGAGACCTCAGCCCCTAAGCTCTTCCCTTCTTACCATGGCCACGTTCCCCATGTTCCACCTCAGGCTCTTCGCATTGTCCCCGGAGCCAGGACCTTTCCAGATGCTGTGCCTTTGTACCTTTGCCTTCACACAGTGTTTGTAACCCTGCTTGCACACTGAAGTTATCTGAGGAGCTTTTAAATCGTGATGCCCAAGCCCCACCCCAGACCAGGTACATCAGATTCTGTAGGGGTGGGNGATGGTCTTAGGCGACCCCTGTGAAAGGGTCATTCGACCCCCAAAGGGGTCGCGACCCACAGGTTGAGAACCGCTGGTCTAGAGGCCCTGACCTACCACCCTACCCCCAACATGCAGGCAGGTGCACAGATGATGTGTGTTGAGCCCTAACACACACTCACACACGCAGTTGCAGACTATCAGAGTTACACCCCCACGTACGCATACGCACAGTCCCGCCCCAGAAGGAGGAGAGAGGGACGGGTTTGTTCCCCCATGTGCTGCTTCTCCCATGGTCCCTGCTCCCATAGTCTGTGCCCTGAATGACAGAGGAACCCTGAGGGCACCCAGAGCTCCCACTAGTTTCTGCAAATGCCCTGAGGCATCCTACGGATGCCTGAGCCCGTGTGGAGAGATGGCTGTGTGTGTGATGTACGTATGGGTATATAAGTGTGTGTATACACGTGGGTGTGAGAGCATCTTTGTGGTGGTGCGCATGTGTGCTTATTGGCTCCATCTCCCACCCCCAACACCCTGCCTCCTATCCAGCCCACCCTTCCCCCTCTACTGTTCTCAGCCACTCTGAGCTAGCCAGGGGCTTGCTGCGTATGGCCCCTGCAGGAGGAAGCCTGAATCCAGAGAAAGCAGGGATAACCCCATCCTACCAACCACAAGCAGTGCAAACTGTGGAGCCCATGTCTGTGTCCTTCCTCCAAGCCCATGAGAGCCCTGGACCCAACTCCCAGACCTCCATGCTCTCCCAATGGCCAAAGCCAGGGTCGAGGCGGGGTGAGGACTAGACTGGACTGTGCACGGAGGACGTGCAGGGGCAGTGACATGGAATGTGCGACCACCCTGGCCTCACCCCTGGCTTCTGCTTCCTTCCAGATCTACAAAGACAACCGGAATCTGTTTGAGGTACAGGAGAATGAGCCTCAGAAGCTGGTGGAAAAGGTGGCAGGGGACATCGAGAGCCTGCTGGACAGGAAAGTACAGGCCCTGAAGGTAGGTGCGATTGTACAGATTGAGTGAGGACCTGGCGGGGCAGCCCCACACTGTGAGGGAGATGTCCTAACACGCTGTGAATACACCGCCCTTTGGGCCCTCTGAATCCATTCAGGGCCCTCATTGGCAAGGCTGTGCCCAGGTGAACTGTGGGCAGCTGTGGCAGGAGCAGAATGGTTTTGTCTGGAGTAGGCTACATGAGGGGTGACCT